TGAATCTTTCCTCTCTTTCTCTTAAGCAGTCTGGCTAAGGGATCATCTATTTTTGTTTATTCTTTCAAAGAGTCAGTTGATTCATTGATGTTTGGGGGTTTGTTTTGTTTTGTTTTTTTAAATCTCAATTTCATTGATTTCTGCTGTAATCTTTATAATTTCCCTCCTTAATTTTGGTTTGGGCTTGGATTATTGTTTTTCAAGTATCTCAAGATTCCTCATAAGGTTGTTTATTTAAACATGCTCTGTTTTTCTAATGTGAGCATTGATTGCAATGTACTTTCTTCTTAGGACTGCTTTTGAAAAGAGAGATTTTTATAACATCATTTAAGACATCCAAAAAAGGTACATTATACTGAATCCACAGGTAAGATATTGAGAGCCATAGACTGATGAAATTCACCACAGACTATCAGAGTCGGGCCCTGGATCAGAGTCCAAATTTCCAACTCAGAGCTCTTTACACTAAGTTGTCTTTTTTTTTTAACCTATGTATACCTATTTTCCTAGAAGACAGACAAAGCAAAACAAACACTTCTTCTACCTGAGTAAAAGGAGAAAACAAAGAAGTCAGTTTAAACTCTTCTTTCTGTAATTCAAGACGCGGGCAAATGAAGAGAGTGGACCAGATTGGTCAGACTAAACCATCTTTCTCAGCAAACTTCTACTTTCCCTTTAGAAAAGGCCCAGACATTCATAAGTGTCTCACTGTGTCCCTGAGGCCTTACTGAAGGCTCATGGGGCTTAGGGTGTGCTAACATGCTTCACAGCTCCTAAAAGATGCAGCCAACCAGGAGATGTTCTGAGCTGTGTCATGCAAGCCTATCTTTGCTTGGCAGGAAAAAAAATCTGTTCTTTTCTATATTGTTCTCATTCCTCTAGGAACATTGTAAAAACCACAAACTTCCTCCTGGCAGAGAACTGGAGGTAGGGCAGGAGAATCAGTGATAACCAGAGCTTCTTGTCAGCAATGCTGGTGGAGTGGGGTTTATTTTTACTTCTTCCAGTGAAATGAAGACATGTAAGCCTTCTTGAACTGACCTACACATAATGAGGAAAGAGGGACATATTTGGTATGGGGAGAGGCTGTGTTAGGAAAAAGAGAAGTGAGGTGTAATTGAGCTATTTAATCACTTCTGAACAGAACCAGAGCAGTCAGGTGCTTGGTTGCTGCTGAGTGGGAACACTGTCTGCCCCTGGGGTGGCTTAAAGTCTTCATCATCCTTGATAGTGGGGTAGAGCAATTGGCACCAAGACCTCATTCCTAGAAGCCAGGTCATGCCAGGCCTCACTGCAGGCAATGTCAAACAGCAGTTAGACAGGTATCACAATGCCACTGGTTCTTAGAGTGGTATATCTCAGTGCCTCAGGACTAGGCCAAGCCAAAGCACAGCAGGAAAATAACTGGGGAGTTCACCTGAACTCCGAAGGGTAAGGCACTGAGTCCTACAAAATACCAAAGTCGTTAAAACAACCTGGGCAGCTTCTAAACCCTTCACAAAATCACTCCACCTTCCCAGCTTTTCCCCATATCCCCATTTAGATTGACACACTCTCTCCTTATGTTCTTTTGGGTGGCAGTATGCTCTAGGGACAATAAGATGCCTGAATGGGTGATACAAAAGGTAAGAAATTGGAGTCTGCTCAAACACATGCATCTATAGATGCGTCCAAGGTAGAAATTCAGTGGCAAGATGTCAGCACACCTTGGCCTACTGGAAGGTCAAGTCTATTGAATTCAATTATTTAAACAAATAATTCATTAATATGCTTCAAAACTCAAAATGATATAAAAAGTGTTTTGCATTTTGCTTTCTCAAGTAATAATCCAGCCTGGAAATCTTTCTCTATCATTTTACTAAGAAATCGCTCATTCATTTTTGTAGCTTCATAGTGTTTACATGGTCCCGCCACAACTCACTTCACTGGCTCCCTAATAGATGGTGTCTATATTCAGTTCTATATTCACGGTGTCTATATTCAGTCTTTACTGTTACAAAACACAGTAGAAACCCCTGTCCACATATTAATATATGTACAGAATATATATCCCCAATCAGGATTGCTAGGGATGCAAGAATCAATGCATTTATAATTTTGAGGAATATAACCCTATTGTCCTACACTGAATGAATCCTCTGCCCCCTTACTGTGTTGCTGGAGATATCTGTTGGGCATTGAAATGCCTGAGGGTAGACAACTCCCTGGGTCAGGGCAGCCCTGAGGACACCATGTAAGAGAGACATGGTGGGGAAGAGAAGTTCCATGCTGTCCTCAGACACCAGACATGCACTGGAATGAGTCTCAGAGGTGCCACATCTACTTAAGCTACTGTGGGTCATAGAAATTTACCAATGAAATGGACTCCAAGAAAACGTACCAAACACAAATCCTGTGGCAGGATTGCCCTTTGGAAGATCTTTTTCAGAACTGAATTTGAACAACTACTTCAATGAAGAGCACAAACATTTGAGGTGCACAAGACCAGATTTTGAGCTTATGAGATATGGAGTTTTTATGATTCAGACCCTGGTTCTAGCAGGAGGGCAGAGAGGCCATGTAGTTGAGAGCATGTTGACCAGATGCCAGATTCTTCTGATCTAAGTGCATCTCTCTGCCTTTCTGAGGCCAAACAAAGCTCTCTGAGCTTCAGATGCCTCACTCATAAAGGGGTTAGTGTATTTCAGGTCTTTCACCTGAGTAGGGGGTAAATGCTCAGCCCTATCTTCCTCTCAGGGAATCAGATAACATTGATAGAAGCTCTTCACAAACTGTAAACTACTCTTTAAATGTGGGAGTTGTGTCCAATCAGAATCTTGAGAACTGTGGATCCAACAAAGCATGGAATAAATAGTCTGAGAAACTGAGTCACATGGTTCCAGAGAAGGAAGCCCAGGTTATCTGTGGTGAATACATATGCCAGCCTGTTCTACACACTGCAGGCAACAGCAGTAATTGGAAGCCCTCTGACTCCTTCCCCAACACTTCTTAGCCTTTAACAGGTTCAGCATAGCTAAAAGGACATTCTGTTTCTTTAGTGGAAAGGCCAACTCATTTCCCTCTTCTCTGCAATAAGCACAAAGGCCAAATCCAGTCCCCTATATCAAGAAACAGCAAACAGCTCTGAGAGTAGCATCCTTCTGGACCACTGATGGGGGAAATAGGTCTATGAATATTCATTCACTGCACATGTAAGTGTTCTGTGTAAAGGCCCTTTTAATGATGATGAGAATGGGAATAAAGGGTTTGATGAATTCCTGAGTCAGCTGGCCCCTACCCCAGAACACATGCAATGGTTGTCATAGAGAACTGGTTTACAAAGAAAATGTTTCTGCAGATGTGTGGGCCTTGCACTGCAACCGCCTTCCATTCTCCAGCAAGAACAAAACAGACTCTGGGATTGGGACACAGATCCAAAAACCAAATTAAATTTCAGCATTTTCTAAGAAGACAGGTGTGAGTATGGAAGACCACTACCTGAAATTTCCCTCCTTTCCTCTCTATTCAGCTTCCCTCCATCCTTACAGAATGTTGCAGACCCTGCTGCCTCCTGGTGACATCTCCTCTGACTTCATTCTTCTGCAATCAATGAACTGCTTGTAGGTCTCTCCCATTAGGGAATCAATTACACAACTTGCCCCCTTGCTGTGTCTCCTGAAATTGTTGGCCTGCTTTAATAATGAATTTTATTATCATTACTTAACTTTTTAAGATGTTCATTCTAGTCCATGCATTCCCACACTCTGTTTTCAACAAACATATTGAGCTTATAATGTGTACCTTGACTCAGTTCTGAGGAAAATAATGATGATGTAATAACACAAGCACAACAATATTTCCTGAGTACTATACCCCAGCTTCCAGGTTATACTCTATCTTATTTAATTCCCACAACAACCTGTTGAGGGAAGGTTATTATTCCCATTTTATAGATGAGGAAGCTGAAGCTGAGTCTCCACAGCTAGTACCTGTTGAAGTCAATAGTAAATCTTCTTAGAAGATGGGTTAGTGGGGAGAGAAATTATCTGGCAATTTCAACTCATGGGAGGCTTGCTTTTGTCCTTGGCAGGGCAGCATGGGAGCACAAAGAGGCACCTGCCAGAAATGTGGGGAAGAAGTGTCAGGGCAGGCTCCCTGAAGGAGGTAAAGCCTAAGCTAAGTCACAGAGGAAGAGTAAGTCAGTAAAAAGAGGGAACCAGCTTTGTAAGAATAAAAGTCTTTCTGCTTGTCTTCCAGGGTCAAACTGTCTCTTCTGTTCACTAACTAACCAAGTTCAATCCCAGATTCTACTGAACCCCTTCAAAATCAAGCCTATTCTTTAGGGAGGGCAACTGGAGTGTCCCAGGATTTGGTAGTGGTTGTGGGTGGTGGGGACATGACATGTATTTTGATGACTATTACTTTGCAACACAAACGTACAACTGGCTGAGTTGTTCTGGGCTCTGATTCCTCCAAGTGTTTGCCTTCCCTGATATCCCTCCCCAAGTTCCTCCAAATTCTCCTTGAAAGTCTGGACTTGTGTGGGACTCTGCTGATCCTGTCCCAGGCCATCAGAGATGGCATGAATCCCATCGTGGCTGCATGCAGTCTTTCAGAGGCAGCAGAGGACAGGGTCTTGACTCTGTAACTGTGGCAGTAGTTTTATTAAGATGGTGCTTGAGAGTCAGACTGTATTTTCTTTAAATTATAAATAACCAGAACAAAGAGAGGAGGTGGCACTGGGAACAGGGCAGGGAAGAGTGAAATAAAAACGTTATAAAAATTTTATCTCAAAATTTTAAAACTCTGTGGCTTACAAAATGTTATATAACTTTTCATTAGGCAATACATAGGGAAAAGAAGGGTCCTTTTTAAAATCTGCTTTTCTGAGATGGTCTGTGATTCATTTGTCTTGTGTAGAACTTTTGAATTCTTGCTATGGAGACTTAAACTAAAACAAAGAAAGCAGAGGAACTCTCACAAAAATCATGCAGTCAGAGATCAGTTAATTATGCACAAACCTGGTCAAACATCTGCTACAAGATGGACAAGTAGCTGCTTTCTTCATTCTTGGTCTCAGGCTGTTTTCTCATTTATAGCACCTAGAAAACTCCAAAAACAGAAAGTTGGATCACCTTACATAGAAAGTTTTTAAATCTAAACCAGCAATAAACCATCACCTGGACCCTACTTTCTAACAGAACTCATTTTTTTCACTCTTCTCCAAGGATCCTTACCCTGCTGGGATAGGTTTAATCCTCTGGGAACTGGTTTAGAATGGGCCTGTGAACAGATGCTACTCAATGAAACACAGAGTAAGCCTTCCAGGGAGGCTGCTGGGAATGTTTTCTTCAGATCTTAAAAAGACAGATATAGATGGGTATAGGTATATACCATAACTAAAGAGAGATTTTTAAGGGGTCTCATATAACTAAAACGCAGAAGCATTCCATGAGAAGGGGGACTGTACAGGGCTCAGTCAACAGAACTTGGTCCCTTCCTTGTCTCTCTTGTCCTTGGTTGAATTCAGGAAGCCTTTCCCCATGGGTACGTCCAAAAGCCAGCCAGCCCCGTGTTACAGCAAAAAACCTAGGCCTGAGCTTTATTGGATTAACTCCCAAGACATGTCCATTTCTGAGCCAATCAATGTGACATAGAGAAAACATATATTGCCAGAGTATTTGATAATCCCAGAAACAGAGATGTGGGTGGAGTCAGATCGCCAGAACCACTTGCAGCAAAAATCGGGAAAAGGTTAAGTCCCCAAAGAAAAACGGAGAAGCAGCTATCAGAAGAAAGTGCTAGGAGACATGAGAAGTGTCCACAAAGTAGGGCCATGTAAGCTATACTTATGAGTTGAGATTTTATGCTAAAAGCATTAGGAAGCTATCAAAGGGTTCTAAGCAGGGGAACGATCTGCTGACATTTGATCTGATGACATTTCAAAAAGAATATTTTGACTGTAGGTTAGAGAAAGGATTGCAGGGAGCCAAGATTTGAGGGACTGAATTCGGGGCTTAACAGAATGACAGGCTGGAGAGGTTAATGCCTTGGGGGTCAGCATTAGAGGTCAAAGAAACATGGACAAGCGCAAGGACCTGAGTTCGATCTCTGGTACCAAAAAAAAAAAAGAAACATAGACAGAGTTGAAGCACATTTGGGAAGAATTGACATCACTCATTGGTGGGTTAGAAGTGGAAGGGTAGGAAAAAAGAAGTCAAGTATGATTCCTAGGGTTTTGACTTGATCTCTTGAAGAAATCATGATGTCATTTCCCAAAAGGGGAAAGATTCGAGGTAGGAGGACAAAGGACAAGTCAGGAGGGTGAAGAAAACAAGAGTTTCATTGTAAATATGAAAGAAAGGTCTGTGTTGCAGCTACAAATCTAGGAATCATCAACATCAGGCATTATTTAAACTTGAAAGACTAAACAAGACTAACGGGGATCATATGGAGAGAGAAAAGAAGGCCATTCATAGAACTTATTCAACAATTTTTCCTCTTTTGCCCAAGCTGGTCTAATGCAAACTCTAAGCAAATATGGGCTTTCTCACCCCCAACACTTCTTTACCATTTCATTCTGCCTAAAATGCCTTCCTCTTCCTAGCACCTTCTGAATACTAATTCCTCAGTGATGGGTTCGAATCTGCACTCCCCATGGACTGCACTAGCCCCATTTCCAACATCAGCTTTATTGCTTTCTATTACTTTGTGTATTCATCATGTTTTCCATTTGTAAACTATCTTGCATTGTGTATATGTCAGCTTTCCTCTCAACTAGATTATAAACTCACAGAAGGCAGCCTTTGTATGCCCCAGTACCCAGCACATTGCCCAGAAAAGAGTTAAGACAAAAATCTGTTAATTAATGAAAATATTCATTCTTATTTTCTTTTGATAATTTTATGCCAGCAGTTGAATACTAATCTCAAAGTCTTAGGCTTGGAGAGGCAACAGCTCAGCAAGGATCTACCAACCAGTCCCCTGAAAACGAGGCAGCAATTGTCTGGTGCTTTAAAATGTTCATGGCAAATAAAGCTTGCAGCAAATAAAAAGAAAATGATTCAATCTGTATTGAAAAGAACCAGTTGGAAGTAGTTTCCCACAGAGAAGTCATACAATTAAAATGAATGTCTATGAACCACTTCACTATTTCTCCATTTATCCCTAAATAATATTCCACTTAACTGGAACATATCTCTGTGTGTTCATGCCCATTTAAAAACCCTTCTCCCTTCAGAGTCCATAACTCACAGTCATTCCAAACTGCTTCCAGGTGACTCAACTGTGTTCTTCTCTACCCCAAGCAGCTCAGTGAACACTAGAGAATTGGGAGAGCACCACATCATCACTCTTTTCTGCTTGTAACACCAAGGACTTTCCCATTCTCCCTCTTCCCCAAAGCACCTCTAAATCCCCTAGATGTGTTTCTCTCAACCTTGAATTCCAGTTGTCCCCACTGTTCCAGATATCCTCCATCTGGACTCTGCCAGATGTGCTTCCCACAACAGCATCCTCCAGTTGGGCAAATCACTCTTCAATTCTCTTTAAAGCTGCAGAGAGCATGTTCACATACTTGCTGACCCTGATTGTTGTGACAAGATTGAATGAAATTAAAAGGATCTGACTCAGTTTTCCAAAACTGACTATTGCTGCTCACTGAGTCATACTTGAATGTTTTCCAGAGGTCAGAGTACTTCCCCTTTTGTCTCATGTTTCACTTCAAAACTCACATGAGTCTGCTGCTTGAATGTGACCCCACCTTCTTTCCTCCTGGACCTCCAGCTCTACTCAGTTCCTGGACTCAGCTGCCAGAGTTGTGCAGTGAGAAGGAAACCCTCTGTAAGAGGATCCCTGTCTCTACCACTACAATTGCTACCTGATCTCCATCTAATTGGAGCCTGTTTCCTGATGAGAAAATGGAAATAAAAATATTTTGAAGTATTGGTGTGAAAATTCAATGAAATTAAGATGAGAAAAATCTCAGGACAAATCTTGTATCTAAGTAAGTATGGGCTCAACAAATATTAGATTGAACCAGATGAAATGGCCAAATGTAATAATTTCATGTGGTTCTACCTGCCATTAGCCTGCTGTACAAGCACCAAGGAGATTGGTATTCATTTGATTGGGGTATTGAACAAGGAAAAAGTAGAATGTTAGAGATGGAAACACAAGAGTTGACATTATTCACAGCATCAACCAAAGAATGCAAGCACCCTCATAGATACTTTAAATGCTGGGAGATTTTCTTGACTCTTAGCTAACTGAGCAAAGGTGGTTTAAGAGGTAGGGATATTCAAGGTCCCGAGTTTGATCCCCAGTACCAAAAAAAAAAAAAAAGAGGTAGGGCTATAATGTGGTTAAAAACCTGGGGGAGAGATGGCATGGGGTCAAATTCCAGTTCTGGTATTGATCCCCAGTACCAAAAAAAAAAAAAAGAGGTAGGGCTATAATGTGGTTAAAAACCTGGGGGAGAGATGGCATGGGGTCAAATTCCAGTTCTGGTACTCATCAGCACTGTCAATTGAACCAAGTCTGTTAACCAGTCTCAGGTTTTTATCCTATGATGTGGGATTATAAAGACTTGTCTGGATTAAATAATCTAATAGGTGTAAAGTTCTGAAAACGCTGAAGTGTTAGGTTTTAGCCCAATGAGTTGGTGAGATCTCCTTCACAAGATAGCCCCAACTGGGTAGAATCACAACCCCAGCAGTAGAAAGTTAAGAAGTCTCAGTTTACCAACTGGGACATCCTTTGGAAAGCTCAAAGATTATGGATCTCACTGCTTAGTACAGCTCAGAAAGGATCCAGCCAGCCAGTAGCACCGTATCTTCCTTCTTCATGCTTCAAGGGAAGAACAGAGAATGTTAGACCATGATCCAGGACATAAATGACTCACATACACCCTGAAAACACTCAATGAAAAAGAGATAGTAGGACATAAGAGAGAAAGCGATTCAACCACTATACACCAAGAAAGAGACATTGCTCATCCTTGTGTGAAATGAAATCATAATTTGAATTCAGCTTTAATTTAGTAACTCAGATTAATGAAAACAAAGGATACACACAGATGAAATGGCTTAATAACATATTTCTCAGATTGTGTTTCCATCACGTCTCAGATGACTGTGTCGAAATTTAAATTAGGGAGAAGTTTGTCTTTATGTGGAGTCTGCTAACTAACTGGAGTTTTTTTCCACATCATTATTTGTTCACAGTTGGTTTTGGAGATCTTTATGAAACAAATCACATCCTCTGGTGTCTTGTTGGTGCTTGAGATGCTTTTTTAAGTTATATGGAAAAATGTTGAAGCGCTTTTCAGTTTTGTTTTGGTTGATTTCTACTGTATTTGAATATTATTGTAGTTTTTTTCCCCTTGCATTGTTCTTCTTTGAATGGTTTTAATTTTGTGTGTGTGTTTGATAATAAAGTTATTTTAAAATTTTTTAAAAAGACATCAGAAGAAAATGATAATGCCCTCTAGGTTTTCCTATAACTTTTTCATATATATTATCAGACTACATCCACACACAAAAAGTCTGAGTCAGGTAGGCAAAGCCAGCAGTATTTCTATGTGAAGATTAGGGACTGAAGAACTGTGGAGTTTTAATGGCTTATTAGAGTCTGCCTGGACAGTAGTAGTTGATGGAACTAGAATCTTTACCCATTGAAAGGGACTCATGTTCTTCTTTCTTTTCCCAGTACCAGGAATGGTACAGAAAAGAGCTCCAAGTTATGTTTTCAAAGGCATATTAGAAATACATTTCAATTCACCCATGTATCTAAAATAGTTCAAAATGGAAGGAGAAAAATCTGATTACCTGATTTGAAGGCACTACCCATTAAGCTCATACACTATTTAGGATGCCATTTACAACCATTTCTCCAACTGTAAAAGGAAGGATAAAGCCTGCCTTGTTAGGTGGTTTGGGTGTGTCCCTCCTAAGCAAAGGAATGTACTTCTTCAAATATAGGTGTATACACATGCTACTACACCATTTGACTTGTCTCACACTCTATTAGTGTCCTGGACAGAGCACTTAGAAATCTCAAGGGGATCTTGGAATGAATGTATTTATCTCTCTTTGGACCTTTAAATAAAGGTAGGGAACTAGGGGGTTGGGGCTTAAGTATGTGAGGACTTGAGCACCCTCATACTTTGCTCTAGGTTTTCCTTCCTATCAAGGATATTCCTCATTCATTCTAGTGGAATGAAGATTTTGAATACGAAGTATCCAAGTCTCAACTTTTGTTCCAAACAGGGGTTTTCAGGTGTTATAAGAGTGAGAGGAGAGGGTGGTTCTCCAAGTGGATAGGGTCAGAGAAAGAAGTCTGGAAGTGTTACAATATCTGGGAGGACAGATGAGTCCTGTGCTATCTGCTGCAATTCAGTAGCCCCTCAATGGTGGGCAATGACAACACTCGGAATTCAATGCTGACACGTGGCACCCACCTGACTGTCCGATATGAACAATAGGTACAACTTGCTCAGAAGAAGCAAATATTTGCAGGCTTTATTTGCTGGTTCTACAGTTGGTAATTCTTATCTAAAATGGGGATAGAAATAGTCCTCACATTAAACCATTGATGTGATTTTCTATTTTGAATCCTTTGAAATTTTCTCTTTACCTTTCTGAAATTTTGCACAATGTAGATTAAGGTGTATGGGAGGGGTGCGTGTTTTCCTTATTCTGCAACTTCAGGAAATTTTAAAAAATAATTAATTCTTCTCTTCTGTTTTCTTCTCCTGAAATTCTTATTAGAATGCTGTTGGAATTGCTGTATCTATTTTTGGGGATCTCTTAGTCCTCTATCATACTTTTTGTCTTTTTGCACCGTATTCTAAGTCAATTCATAAGGTAATTCTTCAAGCTCATGAATTTGCTTTCCAATTGTGTCTCATGCTGTTCATCAGAGAAATGTTTTTACTAGTAAGAATAACATGAAGAAAACTGTGTAACCTTGCAGGTCACCGTGCTCAAAATAAATGGAGAGGGTTACCATGTTCTTAAAATAGGAATACATAATAACATAGAAATGACAATTCTTAAATTAGCCTAGAAACCCAAAGCAAGCCTAACAAAACCCCAAGAGAATTGTCTTTAATAGACAAACCATCTAAAGTTAATTGGGGTATATTTTTAAGTGGCAGGGTTTTTTTCAATCTTCTCTCTTTTTTGAGATTGTCTTACTTTTCTCTCATTGCTGAGACAAAATACCTGACACCCAAAGTTAAAAAGGAAAGGGTTTATTTAGCTCACAGTTCATAGAGGTTTCAATCCATAATTGGCTGGCGCCAAGCAGGGTGGTAGAGGGGCAACAATTCATGGTGGACAGATAGTAGCAAAGCAATAAGAGAATGTAAGTGTCTTTCTGCCCCTTTTATCTTATTCAGATTACTTAAGGCGGGCAGCATTCATACCCTTAATCCTAGTGCCCTTGGGCCTAGCATTGCACCATGAATCAATCCTAGCATCACATACTAGATCCAGCCACCTCTGATAAAGACTGCATGAGGCTTTGGAGGAATATCTAGGCATGAGCCACAACAGAGATGCTATTAACTTGAAGGTAAAGGAACTACAACAAAAAAGGTAAAAACCTATTTTTTTTAAAAAAGAAGAGAATAATGAAGAAGATAAGGAGATAAGAAAATTAACACAGTTTTGGAATATAGGACCAGGTGGAGGGATTTAGCAGAGCAGAGGAAGCAATGATCTGAGTCACCTGGAGATGGGTTACCAAGAGTAAATTAGCTACAGGCCTGCAGTGGAAAGCCTGAGATTCTCAAGCTTTGGAGACAGCAAGTACAAGGATAATGAAGGGCTGAGGTGAGGTGAGGGGCTAAAAATAGGTGTTGAAAGTCTCTCATGGAATAGTTACATTCTTCTTTCACCTCAAGCAGTCAGGCTACTGGTTTCCTCCACTGGTGATTAAAGAGTACTTTTCTGTATAATTTGATGAAAAAGGTTTAGACTAAGGGTTACTCAGTTGGAAGCAGCCTCAGGGAGACACAATTACCTGTAAAAGAAATAGTTGAACTACACAGCCACCCTTTCTTAAACTGCCCTCTTCATGCCACAGATATGTGAAGATATTTTTTTAACAAACTAAATGATGAAAGGAAAAATCAGCTTTGTTTATTGGTTTGCATTTGTGAACTCCAGTTCAATTACTCCCAAAAGGAGTTTATGGGTCAATAAGTTCTGCACACACACTCAGGCCATACAGGCAATCTTTTAAAGACTCACTGTTAATTATTAACAGAGTGCCAAGTTTCCCCAGATAAGTGAGGAAAACCTCTAACAGAAAGAGGAAGACCAATACAAGGAAAAATAAATAAAAACAAAACAACCAGAGGAAAAAAGATATAAAAGGATATAAGATTTTAAAATCTATAATCCTTAGGAAAATAAGCAAAGATATGTATCCTATGCCCAGAAATAGAGGTTACGTAAAAGGGTAAATCAAAGAACAATAACTTTTCTTCTGGAAATAAAAAGTGAATCAAATTGGAGAGTAAAATTGAATATGTCTTCCACGAGTTAGTACAGAAAGAAACTGCATTAAGAATTAGGAAGGACATGGTCAGTAATATACAGAATGGATCTAGGAAGGCCAAAAGCTGAACAAAATGATTCTTTAAAAGAGAAAGAGAGAGAAATACAGAGAAGGAAAAGCTGAAAGTTACACGGCAATAAAATTTCCCAGCAGCAGAAATTAAAATCTTCAGATCAAATATGTCCCTTTTTATGCTTGGAAACATGAATGAAATAAGGCCTGTTCTATATATGTGATTGTGAGATATCAGCATCCCAAGGGAAGAGAAAATCCTAATCATTTCCCAGAGAGGGAAAGTGATTTACAAGGGGAAGAGCATAAACAATGAATAGGATCATTCAACAGCTATAATGAATGTTAAAATAGATCAAGACAGTGCCTTCAAATATTTAAAGAAAAACTAAATTTCAACTTAGATTTCAAATCCCAGCCAAATTATGATTCCAGAAAGTAAATAAAGACATTTTCCGAAAGGTAAGAACTCTAAAACTCCCTTATTCCTCCTATTAAAAAAGCAACTGGAAGACTTAATTCTTTTAACACCAGACTATATCACCCCTCTTGTTGAGGTCGACTAACACAGCTGTATGAAATACATACAAATAATATATGGATATATCTACATACAATTTTTCTGAAAAAATATTGAAGAGCTAATAAATTAGTGAAAGATTTCCATGTCAAAAACTTGTGACACTCTGAGACGCAAGTACCCAAAGGATGCTTTTGCAGCTATCGGAAAAGACAGCAGCAACATGCAGCTGTGGTATTTGGCAGGCCCACTGGGCAGAACAGATAAAAGGGATTGCAGAGTGCAGAGTCTGATAGATAACCATACATTAAGTTGAGGTCCCTAACAGCATTGCACTGGGAGCACCACCTTACAAAGTGGTCTGCATGTTAGAATCACTAGAGAGCTTTAAAAAATTCTGAAGCAAAATCAAGAACAAAAAAATTCTGAAGCCCAGTCCACACCACAGACCAATCAAATCTCAACCTTTGACCATAGGACAGAGGCTTAGTAGCTGTTGAGGTTTCCCAGGTGAAATGTGAGGACAAGTGTAGACTTAGGAACTGCTGCTAGAGCAGAAGTGAATTGGAAGTAACAGAGTCCTTCACATGAGTGATTCTGGGAATCTCAAGCCTAGAACTTCAACTAAGGCAGCCACAGAATGTCAGAGCAAATTAAAATTCTTGGTGAACGCAGGTGTTTTTAATCTAGGCTCAGATTATTTCTACAAATAAAACCAAGAGAGTAAGTTGAAATCTATAGGAATAAAAAGCAGGTTTTGAAAAAAAAAAGACCACAGAAATAAATCCACAAAAATTTAAGACAATGAAAGTACCAGACACAGACTCCAAAATCATGTTTCCTGTCTTTAAAGATAAAATGAAAAGCTTGAACATTTCAGGTGGGAAGTAAATGACTTGGATTTGAAAATAAAACCTGAGTGGAAATTGTAAAATGAAAATATACAGTAACCTGGCCGGGAATTTAGCTCAGTGGTGCTGCTGCCTGCCTCGCAAGTGCGAGGTCCTCAGTTCGATCCCTGGTGCCAAAAAAAAAAGAAAGAAAATATACAGTAACCATAATTACATATTTAATGTATAAGTTTAGCACTAGATCAGATATAGAAAAAAACAGACTAGGGAACTGGAATATAAATAAGAAGTATCAGGAAAGACTAAAAGGATGAGGAAGAAAACAGACAAGATGATAAAAACAAGAGTACAGATTGGTAACTTTTGGTTAAAAGGCCAAAAAGTTAATTTTAGATCTTAAAGCCCATATTGTCTCTATTGTAATTATTCAACTCTCTCATTGTAATTTAGAAAGAAGGCAGTGGGGAGCTTAGGTCTAAATAATCAGAGCTGTATTCAGATTTTACTTATGGAAACAGGGCTGACCCATAAGTCAGTTTGTCAACACTTAGCACAATGTTATGTCCTAGAGACAGATGCCTCTAATCATATCAAAGAGTGAACATATAAATGAGGACCAAAATGTATAACAGTGTGAAATAGGAAGAAAAGGTCCAAAGTGGAAGTGGAACGGGGGGGGGGGATGGAGGGGAGGAAAGAAGAGAAAGAAAAAAACATGAGAAAAGAAGGAAAAAACAAACAAAATAGGGAGGGGTGGAGGGGTGGAAGGGAGAGAAGGGGAATGGGAAAAACAAGAACCAAGATGCATCATGTACAGGTACAAATTCCCAATGATGAATGTGATCATAATGTATGCCTAAAATGTACCAATAAACTTAATAAAAAAAAGAAGGAAATAGAGAGGAATGTAATATAGGCAATAATTGAAGAGAAATTGCTAATAATTTTCTAGATTTTAAAGATAGCAATTCACAAATTCAGGAGTCTATCAATCCCTAATAGAATAAATATAAAGAGATCCACATTTTGGCTTGCAGGAAAAGCCAAAAGAAAGAAAAATCTTAAACTAGAGAAAAAGATTACTTTCAAAGGCATGATAGAGTAGTAACTGACTTCTAGAAAAACAAAAACAACACCCAAAAAAACCAGCCCTAACACAAAAATATCTTCAATATTCTAAAATAACTGCCTACCTAGAATTCTATAGTCAGCAAAAATGAAGGCAACATAAAGACTTTTATTCTAAAAGTAAAAGTGAAAAATCCAACGAGGAGAAGTTCAAATTAATAAAATCAATACATTAAAAAAGAAAGGAGAGAGGGAAAGAGGGACACAGAGAGAAGTAGAATAACTGACACGATGGAAAGCATAAACTAAAATGGTAGAATTAAACACAAATATTAAATGTGTAAATAGACTAATTGCCCTATAAAAAAGATTAAGATTGTCCATGTGTATCAAAAAAAAAGAAAGAAAACAAAAACACACCCAAACTGATAAACTCAACTATAGTCTTTTTAAAAATAATAAATCTAAAGTAGAAGGATACAATATTTTATATGGGTTTTTTTGGCCTGTTATTCTGGTTGTTAATCTAAATTTA